AAAATTCATAAAATTTTAGTTCATCAATAGATTGCGCGTGTTTCGTACAGAGTAACATCACTACGTGTGACTCCATGGGGTATACCCTTAACGGCGCAAGTGCCTAATCGCTGAACATCATTCCTACACCGGGATTTCGGTTTTGAGATCCCAGCCTGGGGAATTTATTTTCCCCTTTGTCTTTTTTTCCTATTACCTACCTCTTTGTATGTATTATTTTAATTTTTTACTTTTTACTTTTTATTTTTATATTTAGTGTTTTATCTTTTGATTCTGATTATTTTTAACGACTGTTGGCGATAGCATAAGCAGTGGGATTGGCATCGGCATGCATGGGGATGCCGGTGCGATGGGATGCCAGTTGATGGCCATGAATGCATGGCATGGCATGAGATGGATGGGATATGGGATGGATGCGGGTGCGATGAGATGGCATGCGAATGGCTGGATGGATGGGATGTAGGGATAGATACGATACGGTTTATTTTTTGGAGTGTATTTTCTTTTCGACTAAGTAACGCCACTTGATTTCCCGGCAACGCTGGATTCCCGCCTACTATATAATACTAATAGAGAAGCGTGGGAAACTCTTACTGCGGATGTTTGTCGATTCACTCCATCGTTCATTTCAAATTTCGAAACTTGTCAGGCCCTACGGGCCGCCATTTTGCGTTCTGCCCTTTACTAGTCGACTGACACAACTATATAACTACCGTGGCCCTGAAAGTGAACCTTGCTTTGTATAATGTGACTTCAAACTTAGAAGTTTTGCGGTTTGTGATCGCTTATCAGGAATGTATATCGTTACCGAGTCTGAATGGACCCCGCCGTCCGGGCGAGCGGAGCGCGATTGGACATGGAGACGCGAGATGACGCCAATCTGCCTGCCAGCAATCACGCTCTGCGGCGGCGCCACGGGAAGTGGACTCATTAACGGTTATACAACGGTATTACATCCTGGTCATGATCGGCACGACCGCGAAACTTCTGTTTGAATCACATTATACCAAAGCCAAGTTTGCACTTATCGGCCACGTGTGTTAGTTATATAGGTGTGTTCAGTCGACTAAGAGGCAGAACGCAGCCAAAATGGTGGGCATAGGCTGCCTGATAAGTCTTCGCGACAATTTTGAAGAAGACGAAGCGAGGAGTGATCGACGAAAATCGCGTAAGGGAGTTTCCCATCTTCTACTATTATTACGCTCATCTGACAAGTCAGATGCAGCTTGTAAGAATCGCATGATTGTCCGGTCGCTCCGGTTCGTCCGTCCGTCTTCAACAGTTGAGCACAAATCTAACCGGGCCTTGCGACGTCGGGTCACGATATTCGGCACATTGGGGGGGATCGTCAAAACGATGTTGGATGTCGAAGCTGGGGGTCAAACGTCAGAGTAAAGTCAAGAGAGTTGGTAAAAGAAGGGGGAACATACACTCCTTAACTTAGGTATTAGGAGGAACATGCAGAATTGACTGGCACAATCTAAACGCATCGACCTAAGGGCTCGTGATAGTTGGTGTATAGCATCATCGGTAGGAAAGCCATCACTGTGTCGAATTGGACTGTCACAGGTCAAAGCGTCAATGGCCACCAGGGCAAGATTTTAGACTTTTATGAGGACATGGTCTGACGAGCGATTGAACAAGAACTTTTTGATCTTCAGCGGTTACCTAGCTTTTTATGGCTTATTGAAAGGACCATGAAACTCTACTTTCTGCTGAACATCGCGAAGGTAGTGTCAGATAACCTTTTGACCTCAAGAGGAGGGTTAAACATGGGATGTGTTGACTGTCTGTTAAAAAAGGAATTTTGACTGCCAGGTTTGCCTACGTAGAATCTGATAGCAGCCTGGATGTATGTAGGCTACAATGTCACAACTGAAATTTCAAAAGCTAAATTTTCGTTTAAAGAAGATTATGCTTCCTTGAAATCGTATATTTTCTATCGGCATCTGTACTGTCAGTATGTTATGAATGTAACGCTTATTGCCACTGCCAGTGGCTACTGCAGTGCATGTGTTGCGATAGTACTGGGTAGTTTTTGCGCGCGTGAATTGGTTACAGGTGGCAGCTCCTCTATTGCCAATTTTGCAGCTGGTACGGCCTTGCGTAGGGAATGGATGAGTGCTTACCTATTCTGTCTTGCAATAGTTGTTGTACTACGTCGAGAAGAGCTTCATCTTTAATCTGAAGACACTTAAACCGTCGCGCCACTCGTGGCAACTTTCATAACGATCCCACGAACATTCCTTCGCAGAAGGCTTCCTGATACATCCTTGTGCATTCCACTGTTTAGGCGTGTATGTGAACACATTTGGGTATGGCGCTAACAGGGGTTCTAGAAGTGCCCACACTCCACCACAAGAGTCACCGCCAGGTAGACGTGTGGAGGGGGATGAGCCGGCTGGTCGACTCGCGCCGGGGACTTGTATTATATATGACAAGGGCACACAGCACATCGAGTAGGGCGATGCGGGATCGGCTTAGTTCTGCATTAGTTTTTAGCTAATCTGAGGTTGTCAGGTGCAACTTGTAGATCGCAATTGATGGTCTGTCCGTTCCGGCCCGTCCGGGTCCGTCTTCCGCCGCGGCGCGTCCGTTCCGTCCGTCCGTCAAACAGGTGGGCACGATCTTAACACTTCGACGTCGGTACATATTCGGACGTGGGGGCGGTAATCGAAACGAGTTGGGATGTCGAAAGTGGGGTCAAAGAGGCAAAGGCGTCTAGAGCTGTAAAGAAGGAGAACATTCACTCCTTTAACTTAGGTATAGGAGGAAAGGGCAGCACATTGCGGCACAATCTAACGGCTATCGACCTAGGCTCGTGATAGTCGGTGTATAGCATCATGGTAGGAAAAAAGCCATCACTGTGCCGAAAATTGGAGGTACAGGTCAAAAGAGTCAATGGTGCACAGGGCAGTTTTACGACATTTTCTGAGAGCATTAGGTCTGACAAAGAAAGCATTGGAAAAACTTTTTTGTTTCAGTGCGTAGACCTAGCATTTTTATGCTTTATTGAAAGGACCATGAAATGTACTTTCGCTGACAGCGAAGAGTAAGTGATCGGATAAACTTGACCCTCAAGAGGCAGGGTTAGAACATGGATTTGTTTCTTCTCACTCGCGTTGGCGGTACCTGTGGTGTGGAAGCTCCATTTTACAGTTGAAATTCCACACATACTCTACTTGAAAACGCTTACTTAGGAGATAATGACGATGACTAATATATATAAGATTCTGTATGTGTACATTTATGAATAGTTGGAATACATCACTAGCACTCAAATAATTACCAGGAGTGAGGCTGCAGATTTCCCAGACTTTAATTTTCTCATCAAATTTGTTGGCACCAATATAGCGCAAGTGTTTACGTTCTTGAGCTCGATTCGGTCCACTAACACTGGCCTCCTACCTTGTTACTGAAATTAGTTTAGAGATATTTGCTATCGCTATTGTGTAATATTTTAAGCTTGCACGCAGCTCTCTGCCTCGGGTTGTATCAAACCATTTGAGCTATTTTTTAACGAAGCAGATGTGCCTCGCCAAGGGGTAATCTACCTATACCTTGACCACCAAGAACGCCACGGTATATGATATTGAATATATGTAATTATTCGCTCCTGCTTTTTGCAATCGTTGTCACACTGACGCTGCATTGCTGACCGATGCCAACGCATGCCTTTGATAGCGGCCCGCCACTATCGGAATTTTACTTACACAGTTTGAATTTTGTTATTTTTGCGGTTGAATGAACGTATGTATAGACGTCTTTGACTATGGCACAAATGATTTCAGCACGAACCAACCAGACCACCAGATGAGCCCCTGGCGCTCTGCGGCACTTGTTGTGAAAAACAAGTTGGATTAACCAGTGACACAACAGTGGACGGTGTTAATTGAGGGTGGTGTATTGTGAATGTACGCGTTCTACTTATTTCATTTTACAGCTTGTTTACTGAACTGTCTCAAGTGGCATGTGAACATCAAGTATTGCCATCATTGGCACATTCGCTAGTAATAGTTCTCGAAATAGTATCGTACTTACTCTTGTGTTCGCTGTTGGGTTTACTTATTGTATCTAAACTTATATTGTAACAACCGGAGTGTTAAAAGGTTACCCTAACTCAAAGACATCAAGTAATGAATACAACAGACACTTGAAACATTCAAGACCATGTAAATGATTGCTAAAATGAAGAAACGCAAATGTATTACTACCAAAGTCTTAATGTTTCTCTACACTCTTTTGCCTATTATTGCTGATAATTTCCTGTAAAATGCTTTTGAAATGCTCCTCTGCAAGACTGCAACACATAAGTACACCACACGCATGCTGCTGTGCACAAACAACAAGAGTAAAGAGTATTCTCATAGATAACTCTAAAGATTATCTAAATGTACTCTTTATTCTTGTTGTTTGTGCACAGCGGCATGTGTTGGGTGTACTTACGTGTTGCAGAGGAGCATTCTACGGCATTTACAGGAAATTATCGGCAATAATCGGGGGAAAGAGGTGGAGAAAACTTAAGACTTTCGGTAGTAATATATTTTTGTGTTTGTTTACCATTCATTTTACTATTGAAACGTCCCAAAAGTGCCTGTGGTGCCCTCTTCCGCTGCACAATCCTATTCCTAGGCATAGCATAGATATATGCACTACATAAGCATTAGACCAGCTATGCATGGTTATGGTGTATATAGCTCTTAGACCAATGGATTGTGCCTTAGAAATGATTATAATCTGATGCTAAACTATTTGAAATCTTTGCAGCATGGCAGGCTAAGCTGTAGCCTATGTATAATAAAAAGGGCATTAGCAGGTAAAAAAACATGTTTGGTTTAGCCTGCCCCTCAAAGCTTCAACTTGGTTCGAAATAATTCATATATATTTATCGATGCAAAAAGTTGCACCAATATTTGCAGCCATATATAAAAAATAAGACTATGATGGATTTATGATTGATTAATTACTCATATAGCCTGTGGCATTTTTTAAATTTTCAGGTTGGTGACAGGTTCTATAAGAGAAAAACGTCTGGCACAATATTGACGATTTTTGCGGTTAGTGCATGAACCATTTGGTTTGGATGTCACATTAAGTTTTGATTACAGTTGCTGGCTAAAGCCAACATGTTCGTTGTGCCGACCTGGGTCTTTTTATTGTGCAGCTAGTCTGCCATTGTGCAAAGATTCCCCCACTGTGTTTATTCATACGTTGATGTATGATGCTGTCGCGGAGTAAAAAAGCTTCGTGGTTAAAGCTAACTCTAGTCCTGCTCACGAGTGGATGAAGTGGTTTGGAGTTCTTTCAGACTCACGGGTGTGACTCCGGCCTAAATTTGCCATTATAAATACAGTTGTGTATTGATTAATTGAGTTATTAGCTCCTGCACTATAACCTTTGAAATATTATTCCCAGGGTCAGCACCAGGCATAGAAATATCCTGGAATTTGATACGACTCCTTGTAAACTCCTTTCATTTTAAAATATTGTGTTTTATACTGGAATTGTCCTGGAAAAGTTGTTATTGCCCTCGAAAAGTACTCAATACTACTGGAATTTATAAAATAAGAAATATAAAGCAATAAATATGTCTGTGTTCATTTTATTACGAATCTTACAGGGCAGCGGCAATATCCTTATGTTGCTATGTTTAGTGCATGAAAATGTGCCTGAAAAAACAAACAATAGTACTGCTGTTTTTATGTCCGTTATTTCATGTAATGTATCATTTCAAGCTGTGCTATGTCTGAAAACACTGAATTTTATTAAGTTAAGCTAGAATTTTAGTACTTGAAAAATAAAAATTGTCCTTGGAATGTCCTGGAAAACTCCTTGAATTTTGTCTTGACTTATCTGTATGGACCCTGATTCTACATTACATATGCAGAGCATAGAAAGTGCTACACATAGGCTTGTGTGGGAGTGTGTGTGTGCATGTGCATGTGCATGTGCGTGTGCGTGCGTGCGTGCATGCATAGCCATGAACATGTAGAATAGATATGTTTATTATATAGCATAATAGTAAGTATATAGTGACTAAATAAATCTTTTAATGGATTTTTGTTCAATACACAAGTTTCAAAAACACAGGCTTGTTATTCTGTCGGTTATGGTTAGCATGTCATAGTTTAGAAATAGCAGTTGTGACCTTGCTGATTACTAGTGTAATAACACATGCTCAATGACCTGTACTTGCAGATACTACCACGCTGCGATTTCAGTAATTAGCTTCTTTACAAGATACAAGATGTCATTCAACCCGTTTGAAGGTGCTGGACAGATAGAAGAGCCAGCCATCATAGTGTACAAGCTAAAGGTTTCAGGAAGAAGTTCGTCACGCAACTCGACACCCGGTTCTAGTCCACGAACGTCTCCTTCGCTTCAACGGAAAAGACTATCTCCACAGCCTAGTACTGTCAAAGTGAAGCCACCTGGTTTCCATGCGAATGCTGACTTGGTAGAAGATGACGAGAGCGAGCACAAGTCTTCGCTAGCACCACGAAACCTGGACCAAGCGTTGGCTTCGAAAGACAGTGATGTAAAGCATGTAGCCAGAAACCTGGACAAAGCATTGGCTTCGAAAGACAGTGATGTAAAGCATGTAGCCAGAAACCTGGACAAAGCATTGGCTTCGAAAGACAGTGATGTAAAGCATGTAGCCAGAAACCTGGACAAAGCATTGGCTTCGAAAGACAGTGATGTAAAGCATGTAGC